CAGGACATTATGCACACCGTGGGGAATGAGGTTTTCTCCTTGCTCATCTTTGTCTTTTTGCAAGAGAAGAATGTCGAAGGAGAGATAAAGTAAACGACCAAAGTGTCCGATCTGAAAAAGTTACAGATAATCCTAGAAATAAAAAAATAAAAAAAAAATAGAAATACCTTTACAATTGTAAGAAATTTCTAAACAGATTGCTAAACAAAACGAGCATCCCTTGTGAAATCTTAAACGAGAAAGCAGAATTTTCGATCATCGGTAACGCAGATCGATTAACGAACGCGGGAAAGTGATCAATTTGTAGTCCTTTCAGAAGCTAGAAGCGCGAACAACGACCAGAGCATACAAATAATCTACTTTTCAATCCACGGAGTCTCTGCACGGCCGATAACGTTCCTCTATCGCGAAAAATGTACCCTGAACGATAAGAGAAACAACGAGACATCCCCCTGAGCCATCCAGCCGGATCGTCATAATATTCCATTGACCTTTGATCGGTGAACCGATCGGCGGCACGCTGCAGGTGTCGCAAGCCTTCACCTGATCTTTTTCAAACAACAACCGATCTTTTCCTCTCCTCGACGTGGTGGGACGTCGGTACCGCTTGCCGATTGGCCAGTGCTCCACGTGCTATGAACCGCAGTAGATCTGAAAGGCAAGTTGGAAGAGGGGAGTTCAGAACGATTCTGCTATATCTTTAAACTCTTTCAATCGGTGCTTTCGTCACTTTTGTAGAGAAACGCACGCGGTTCGCACGGTGGCCCGAGAGAACAGTTCTCATTGTGGATCGTCGGCTTCTCGGACGATCGAGCGCACGGTCCCTCTCTGGCCATTTATGTAGACGTTATCAGGCGGAATCGTTCTGCGAGCCCAACGAGTTCAAATCTGGAATATTGTTGGAACAATTCTCTGGAACTGTTTGACAGTTTGGAATTTGTGCAAGGTTGTTATCGCATAGTGTGACAGACGAATTGCAGCCTATTGCGGTCGGTGTGATCGAACTGTAACTTCGAGAGGAAGACTTTGATTCGTTTGAAGCATCCTCCGCGAGCGACAGTCGTTTCCAGCCTCGAGCTGAAAAGTGAATCAGCGCATCGTTCCTCAAGGTGAAGTAACGTTCTCCCGTAGTTAACGAGAAGAGAGCAACTAGTGCAACACATCATGAAGGACATTATGATGATATGGAACCGATTCACCGGCCGGCGTTACTCGAACGTCAATGCGAACCAAAACGAGCCCGGCGAGTCCGAGGACATAGCGATGAAAACGAACAACCTGAGGAGGAAGTCTTCAATCGTCATGAGTAATTTCATTAATACAGCGCTCGCGGTGCACGCGCGGAACAAAAGGCCGAACAGACTGAGAAGTAAGTAATTGCCATCGAAATCCGAGAAACTGTGAACTCCACGCGTAATCGGCCTCGATACTTGCCTTGGTAATTGTCAAGTTTCGACTCGACACGACGAATTTCCAAGCCTAGATTTTACATTTACATTTAGCTTCGAAATTAATCCGAGTCTTCATTTGCGGAAAAATCTATTATCTTATCGAGGGAGAAAATTATCATTGCTTCGGCTCGATTGATAAATCCCTATCTATTTCGCGACTCCTTTGATTCAGGTTCGGGATTAATTCCCGTGTGTTTGTGGAAAATTTATAATCCTACTGATGCGGGCAAAGTTATGATTACTCGATAAATAAATGTATTCAGGTTTGCAATAATAGTCACAGTCGGCATACGTCGAATCGAAGCTGAACTAGTCGAACATCTTGTCAGTGTCAGTTTACTGAGATTTCGTGAAATGCGTCGTGAACAAACTGCAACGCGTTTGCACGATATAATTGACACGTGATCGTATTGTCTCGATTGTGAATTGTGATTGTCGTTGGAAAGTCGCGTGACTTGAAGAATGAAATGGACAGAATTTGATATTCGAATTCACGCGCGACGCGACTCCCGAGTGCCGAATCTTTCTTTACAGCGCAACTATTGATTACTTCATAGTGATTAATACTATACCAACACGTGGAACACTTTTACTGTGGACCGATCCAATTGCTGCGTGAAGTTATCGAATGACCGTGTCTGATAGTGTTACACGTGAGAATTTCGAGATAAAATTCGCGGCTGTCTATGACCCGATCGTTCACTTTTTTTCTTCTATGCAAATTCACTTGTTTTCTTCTCTATGCAAATCCACCGTGTCAATTCCAATCCGTTTTCTTTGAATGATTCTAAATAATCGTTGCCAATGGAAAAATTAACGAGTCTGCAACTGAATAATTAAGAGAGCCCATAACTGTTGCCTCGCGTTGCTACTGACTTGAGAAGAATTTTCTTGGGAAATCTGCTCGCATCGCGGATTACGTTCATCTCGTGAGAATATTTTGAATTCAATTCAAAGTATCACGAAGTTTAGCGACCTCATTTCGTCTATTTTTCCTTTTTGTTTCTTTTTTTTTTTTTCTTTTTTTTGTTTTTTTCTAACGTGAAACGTGAGTGATAAACATTAGTTTATCTACAAACCCCGAAGATAGAACTCTCAGTTTATCAATGAAGTATCCTGCATGTTGCGTAATACTTATCAGCGTTTTATTTCCCAGTTTAGTGTTGAAAAATCACTCGATCTATTTCCGCCACTCGCTCAGTTTATCGAACATAATTAGATCCGTTGTTATTAATTCTAATAATTACAATAATTGTTCGGTAATATTGTTAATATCAAGAACGAAATTACTGCACTGTTCATTGAGAAACTGCTATCGTTCACGAATTCTTCCTTCTTGAAAAGTAAACACAACAACATAAAAAAATGTTGAGACTGTTTTAAGACTTCGTAACTAACGAAGTAAGAACAAAAAAGCCAAACATTACACGAAGATAGAAGTAAAAAATAGAAGTTTATATTTAAAAAAGAAAAAGAGAAAAAGAAACGAACGTTTATAACCTGTGCGATAAAGCAATATACTGCGAACAAAGAAGGGAGAACGCCCGGCTCCGTATGAAGATTTCAATGAAGCAATAAAAAAACGGCACGCGTACATTATGCTAATAGCCATTACCCTTCCGGGAAGAATCGTTAAAAAACGCCATAAAAATCCTCGAACATGAAAAGCTTCCTTCTTCGTCCAATGCCGCGGACCGCGTACTCTTTCGACAATACAAATTAAACCGATCCTCTAATTAGAATCTCACGATCTGTAATGATCCTCTAATTAGAATCTTACGATTTGAAATAATGATCTAGCGAATGCACATAACGATGTGCCCCTTCATTCTCACACGGCAGAGAAAAACCGCTCTGTTTGATGATTTCGTGCACGTACGATGAAATTGCTAACGACCAAGTTCAAATTAGATCAGAAGAAACGAAACAAAGTGAATCGTAATTAAAATAACAACGATTGATCAGTCGATGTTGTGTCCAATTTGGACTCTTTTTTTTTTTTTTTTTTTTTTTTTT